CTACAGTGTGGCATTATAAGCATAAATTCTCCTTACTAATTAGTAAAGCAACAATCTTTATGAACATAGATTAACATAAGAAGAAAACGTAACATAACAAAATGAACAACTAGACGAAAAATCTCAGCGATAACGGTGACGGAGGTTGAAGAAATGCGAAACATGCCATCTGAATCAGGTAATTTTTTGTGTCACTTACGGTAAGGCGAAAACTTGCTCACCTGATCTTTCGTTCCGTCACAATATTTCTGTGAGCTGATTAAGAAAGAAAATTCACATGGACTGCAAATGGCATTGAAAACGCCACCATACTCCATCTCGGCTGCTTTCTGTATAGCTCGCTTCGATTCTTGTGCAGTTGCTTTGATGTTCTGCAAAAATTCATATTTTTTAGGGAATGCAAAATTTGAGGGCAAATGTCACCTCTGTTATAATATTCCTGAGCTTGAGATCATTGCAATTTGATGTGATAAGACCTGAAAATTTTTTTTAGAAACTTTTGTAGCGTAGGGTGATGGTTCACTCGTAAAATTGATGTCAGAAGATATACAAAAATTTAAGAATCTAACAGACATATCTGATTAAGTTTTTACGGCTCAAGGTAGAAACGTGCAGAAGTCTAGAAACCTGCCAGATACGGTAGTTGGAACGATTTTTACGTATTAAAGTAACAATATTCAAAATCTATGTTACCGTCACTGGCCCTTGAAACTCGTACACGTGATGGTATGTATCTCAATGGCGACTGAACATCAATGGTTGCAGCCGAGATCGACGAATCCACCTGAAATGGACAACTGCTACTTTTGTTCTACTTTATATAACCTCTGTATTTTCAGTCCTACCTCTTTCATAGGTTTTGCCCCATTAGTAGCGCTCATAAATGTTTTGCGCATACGAGCCATAACATCTTCAATAGCCTTCTTCTCTAGCTCTTTCGCGGTGGGATCCGTGGATGAAGCAGTGCCTAAATTTGTGAATTTACAGGAGCACGGCTATCTCATCGTCTCACCTCCTCCATGTAGGGTTAGGTCAGGGTTAGCACTCGTTGGTTTTTCAAGAACATTTTGTTTCACTTCTTTCAGCATTGCTTGCAGTTCTGCTATCATGGCTTCCAACTTTTCAAATGTTGCCTTGTTTTCGTTTTCCTGGAATGGAATTGAGACTATATAGAAAAAAATCTCGGATAGAGACGCTATGTTGCGGATAAGCCACTACTCGGACTACTGATAGAGAGTATAATGTGTAATCATGCATGGTTTGTGGCAGATGTCTGCGCGAACGTAGCATTCGGCCTACAAAGCGTACTTCACCCAGGATCTTTATGATGCTTACATTATTTTCTCTTCGCAGTGGTTCCCGTTCCCGAGCCATTGTCGAGTTCAGATAACTAAAATATTGGATACTAATCCTTAACCAGCTTTTGAAATGCATACCTACCGCGGTAAATGTCCATTATGTCTTCCCTGTGGCAGGTAATTGCTACCTTGGAAGATATTCGGGTTCAACAGGAATTGCGGGATTACTTGAGGATTAGCCTAAATCATTTCGTTACTTCATTCCTGGTCGAGGTAGCAGTCATATCACAAAGGTCGGGTTTGTGAAGTATATTATTGAAAGTTGTCGACAGTCAGGTGGAATAGACCCATAGCCCTAGCAACTGATATTTTATAGAAAATAAAACAAAAACACAATAAAGAAATTCCTTAGATTGGTGAACCTATAATATTGCTTCAAGTCTATATTTTCTACCGGTTCCATATGGAGACGAAAGAGGGTTGCGACGCATGTTATTCACATGGAAAATGATTTTTCTCAACTTACCGGGACCACGACTTCTTGCCATTTCCTCTCTCCTCTTTCACCTGATTCGAGTATTGTTAAGCCATCTCCAGTCATTATTCTGATTGGATCCGGGTCAGATTGTGGGCTAAACACGACCCTGGTGTGTTGCTGAAAAGTTCATTTACTGGTGGTCGATTACTTCATAAAAAGTAAAAAGTAAAAAGTATAATATAAATAACACAGTAAGATGAGGCATTTGAAAAGCGCAAACCTAGTGGCCCTAAGAACATACTTATTCTTAGTGTTGGTACACAACCTATGAAGTTCTTAAAATTTGAAAAAAAAGGCACGTTCTTTCGCTTAGAAGAGAAGAAATAGTAGAAGTTTCCGACAGCTATCAGTAGCAATGCGTAGTATTTTTTTTTTGTAGAGAACATTACCTTTTTTCGTGCTTAGAGAACATTTCTTGTGGCTTATTTTTGTATGCACGATTTTTGAGGTTCATAACATAGAAGAAGGGTATGCTTTATTGTACTACACATTGAAAACAGTATTATCTTCTTATATTAGTAGATATGAGAGAATAAAGGCTTCCTGATAGTCATGAATTATCTTTTTGATCGACGTTATACCATTCTCATATATAAAGTCTTCAAATATTGTACCTTTTCAATTCTATTTCTCCTTGTGTCCGTGCTTAATGAATCTTCCCAGAGTTTCTGTAGATCTAAATTGGATAACATTACGAAATGACACTAGGACAAATAGAGGACAACAATTTCCTCAAAAATGTATGTTTATGCTCGTTTCTGTGTCATTCGCATGCGTTTGACGACATCGAATATGGACAAATGTCCTGTCCTTTGTTTAGTCAACAATTAACTCATCTCGAATACTGACTACGAACTACCTGAGCACTTGAAGTCCGTTGACAATTTGCACTCATGTTTTGGAGAAGGACATGAGGGTCCGACCACAGGGCATGGCTCTGCTATGCATCCACAACAGCATAATGAAGTTTGTACCACAGATGACGATGATGTGAATTTGAGAAGCAGAAGAGGAAGGAGCAAAAGCGGGAGCATCAAAATATTTTGGTGCCCTGAAAATATGCAAAATATGCGAACTATTTTTCAAAAAAAAAACCGAGCAGAGAGCCTGCTTTTGCTTATCAAACAAGTGAAAGTTCTAGGATGATCAAATTGATCAGATTTAGACAGTCATTTTCTCTTATATACTCGCTCTACTTTCGCTATTCTATTGGGTCAAACAGAAAACTCGCTAACTGGTTCTTCATTTCGCACTGCTTAACAATCTGCTGCGCAATTGTGCCATCTATCAAAAGAAATTCGATGATTACAATCTCAACTGCGATTATGTTCAGATCCTCTTCAATGAATGTCGGTACTATCACTCAGCCGCATAAATTCTGTCCGTTCGCATATCTCAAGTTCAAAATATCATAACTTCTTTTAAAGCTGACTTTCTCCATAAACTTGATTTCGCTGGGTTAAGCAAGCTGCTGTCGGATAAATAACTTTAGTAAACCAAGATTGCAAAATTCTTGCAGTTTCTCTTTGAACCCGTCTCTCTGACATAGCGATGCTCTCCTATGTGAACTGGCAGGCATATACAGTAGCCATCAATGGATAGCAAGA